GAAAAACAAATACTGTGGGATCTCTCTTACATGTGGAATCTAAAAAATCAAACATATAGAGAGTAGAATGGTGGCTACCAGGGGCTGGAGACTGGGAGGAGGGAATGAGGAGATGCTGGTAAAAGTGTACAAAGTTTCACTTAGATAGGGTGAATAAATTCTACAGATCTATTGTTTTTTTTAAATATCCCTTAAAGTCTCTTACATAAATGATTATTCAGGGAGTAAGGTCAGTAAAATGGCAGAGTAGGAGCTACAAGCTCACCTTTGCCCACATAAATGGGCAAAGCACTCAAGTAGACATTGCTCCAAAGAAAATCTACAAAGAAAAAGTAAGCATATGAAATCATCAATGTCTTTAATCTTTAAGGAAATAAAAATCAAAACTACAGTGAGATACCACTTGACACTTGCTAGCTCAGGTATTAAAAGCAACACAGAACAAAACAGAGGGTGCAGAGAAATAGGAACCCTCATACACTGCTGGTAGGAATGTAAAATGGTGTGCAGCTGCTATGAAAATCAGTTTGGTGCTTATTCACAAAGCTAAATATAGAATTACCATATGACCCAGTAGTTCTACTTCTTAGTATATACCCAAAATAATTGAAATCACATGTCCACACAAAAACTTGCACACAAATGTTCACGGCACTATCATTCGTGATAGCTGAAAAGTGTAACTAAAAGCGTTCAGATAGGGTGGAGAACCTGTGGCCTCAAGGCCACATTTGGCCCTCCAGATCCCCAGGTGCAGCCCCTGAACCAAATCCAAGCTTCACAGCACAAATCTCTTTGTTACAAGGATTGGTTTTGTAATATTTCGGTTCAGTCAAAAGGCTGCACTCAACAATCCAGAAGGCCACCTGTGGCCTCAAGGCCACAGGTTCCTCACTCCCACGTGGGAGGTCTCCACATACAATGGAATAGTATTCAGCCATAAAAAGGAATGAAGTTCTGATATGTGCCACAACATGCATGAACTATCAAAATATTATGCTAAGTGAAATATGCTAGATAGAAAGGAATGAATAATGTATGTTTCCACTTACATGAAATATCTAGAATAGGAAGATTCAGAGGCAGAAAGTAGATTAGGGGTTTCTAGGAGTTAGGGGAAGAGAGAAGGGTAGGGAGTTATTGTTTAATGGGTACAGAATTTCTGTTTCGCGGATGAAAAGCTTTACAAATACATAGTGTTGATGGTTGCACAAAAATGTGAATGTAATTAATGCCACCAAATCAGACACTTAAGAATAGTTAGAATGGCAAATTTTACGTTATATATTTTATCATATTTTTAAAATACATTATTCAGCAAAGCAAACTCTAATGAAAATCATGTGTGGTAGAGAATGCATTGGCTTGTTATTCTATTAATACATCCAAGTCAAGCCGCTTAATAATCTTCCTTAGATCATTACCCACTTGAAATACCTCTATTGATCTGCACTGCCACCTCTCTCTCCTTTAACAACCTTTACCAGCCTTAATCTAGGGGGCCGATTCTCCCCTAAATTAAGAGTATTTCAGTTCAGCACTGAATCCTCCCCTTAAACTATATACTTAAATTCGTTTAGGTACTACTGGCCCTCCCTGATTCGGAGGCAGGGCAGTGGCCATCATTAGTTGTCTATAATAACTGTTATAATTAGTCACCTATTATATAATACTATACACAGAATAATTATGAAATTATATAATAACTACTATGAATACAGTAAGTAATTATTTCAAACATGACAGAACTTTCCATAGAGGGGAAAAAGATGAATGAAACTATCTTTGTCGCTATACATGTGTACTTTCTAGTAATTTTAATTGCTTTTAAAATTTTTTACTTTACATTTAACCCAAATCTTCCACTACACTTAGATACCCATTCATTCATTTATTCATTTGTTGATTACAAGTTTTTGGAATACACACTGCGTCCCCAACTTGAAGCTAGGCATTGGGGCACAGCAACGGACAACAGAAAAGTGCATCCTATCCCCACAGGTTGACACACTGAGGCATTTAACAGGCCTGGCCATCCTCACACCTGTCCTAGCAAGAAGTCACTTTCCTCTCAAGTACCTTAAGCATAGTCTTCATTCTCTTTGGTAAAAAAGGCCATCGCAAGTAGTGGCCCATGGGTCATGCCTGAGGCTTCTGACTTCCTGTCCCGGAGAGGAAACCTCTGTTCCCAGGACAGAAGAAAATCCAGGCTCAGAGGCCTGTCCCTGTCCCACATGGCCTGCACAGATTGTCTCCTCCTGCTTCCCGCAGACGAGTCTGCAGGACATGGTTGGGAGAGTGAACAGGAGGGTTTGTACTTTAGAATAGTCCTGTATCAGTAGAGGACAGGTGTCGCAGTAGAGAGAGTCCAGGCTTTGGAGTCATGAGAACTGCGTTTGAATCCAGGTTCAAGGACTCCCGAGCCCTCAGTTGATTACTTATTCTTTCCAAGACTCTGCTTCTCTCCTCTATAACACAGGGACAGTAACTCCCGCATAGCAGGTGGTGTTAGAATCAGAGACCATACAGCTGGTGCCCAGTCTCTTCCTGGTCCCAGGCGTACCAGTGGAGCATTTCTGAGCATGGATCCAACCATCCCAGCCTAGGGGACAGAACTCCCCCCAACTGATGCAAAAGGAAAGAACCCTCCACTAACCTGTGACTTGACAACCCTGATCCTGAACTTGTTGGGCAAGTCATCATTGCCCTGGCCAGGCTAACAGGAAACATGCTGTGCTCTGGCTCCTGGGCTTCCTCATGTGCAGGAACGCCTTCTCTGTCTGCATCACTGACCTGGCCAGGGCCAACTTCCTCTTCCGCTACTTCCACATTACCAATTCCCTGAAGAAACTCTTCAACATTTTCCATCTCATCTCCACGTTCATCCACCATATTTAGTGTTGAAACAACTATATACATATGTGTGTATACACATATATGTGTATATACACAAAAATACATACATCTCTCATATAAAATACACATTGGTCTGTATTTTTATTTAACCTATCTTAGAGGTCCTTTCATATCAGGTTGTTGTTCTTTTTATACAGCTACAGAGTATTCCACAAATGGATCATAATTTATACAGTATCGATGGCCATTTTAGCTGGTTACAACCTTTTATTGCAAGTAATCCTACATTCATTCATCTGTACATATGTCCCTTGAACATACACAGGTATACCTCTGGTATAAATTCTGAGGTTAGGAATTACAGGGAGAAAAGTATGATACTTTGTATGTTTGTACATGTTGCAAATTGCCTTGCCTGAAGGATGTATACATTTGCACTCCCACCAGACAAGAGAGAAAGTGCCTGGTCCCCACCATCTCCACACAGTACGCTGTCAAACCTCTTCGGCTTTTATATGGGAATGAGTTAAATATAATTCTGTGTAATTTTAATTCATGTCTTTTATTAGACTTGGGTTTCTTACCCTTCCATATGTTTAAAAGCCATTTTTATTTTCAAGAAATTAGGAATTCATGACCTCAGTCATTTTCTCATTGACTTCTTTAATTTTAAATCTTCATTTTACAGAAACTTTTTATAAATAAGTTAACACTTTGGCTATGATATGTTACCAATATTTTCCCAATATTTCATATTTTGAGTATTGTATTTCATGCCATGCCAAAAAGTCTCTCTTTTTGACTTTATTACTGTTAGTTGTGCCCAATAATGTGGCCTGCAGCCACCTGCCTTTCTGTCTTCTTGTCCAGGTTGGTGTTTCAGTTGATGTCTGAGGTCCTGGACTCCCATTGCACCACTTGCCCATTCTCTCCCACATCTCTTCCACTTAGTCCTCAGGCCAATCTTCCTCTGCCATCACTTTGACAAGATCAGCAATGACTCCACATTGCTAAGCCAAAGGTCAATTTCTTGAGCGCTCAACTGTAACTGACACTATTTACTGACCGATGACTCCATCTCTTGGGATCCTGGGACACTGCACCCTCCTAGTTTCCCTCCTTCCCCTACAGTTGCTCCTTTACATGTTTTGCCATGACTTTCACATGCAACCTTTATCACATACTAAATTCCTATATGCATTTCTATCTGATTCTAAGATGCTTGCTCTAATGATCGGTTTCTCTATGGATGGTTTACTAGGATTTCTCCAGACTCTTAACAGCTGCAAACCCCTTCAGACCTCTTTCCTTTTCAGTCTCTATTAACTTTTCATTCAGCTCCTTGAGGATAAGCTCCAAAAGACTATGGTCTAGTGTTATTCACACTGAAATTCAAATGCCTGACATGATGCAGGTACGTAGTATGTCTCTATTAGTTTGCTAGCACTGCCGGTAGCACAATAGCACAGAGCACGTGGCTTCAACAAAACAAGTTTATTTTCCCACAACTCTGGAGACTAGAAGTCTGAGATGAAGGTGTGGACAGGGTTGGATGGCGTCTTACTCTCTCTCCGTCCTCACATGGTCTCTATTCTGTGTGTCTATGTCCTAATCTCCTCTTCTCTAGGATCACAGGCCCTGTCGGATTAAGGCCCAGGCTTACAGCCTCTTTCAAACTTGATTACCTCTTTACCGTCCCCATCTCCACATACTGTACAGCAAGATAATGACTAACTGGGGGTTAGCACATCAACATATGATTATTACAGGGACAAAATTCACCCCATAACCAAGTCCTTATTAAATAGTCACTGAAAGAGTGAGTTCAAGAACTTTTCTCAATATCTGTAAAAGAATCTAATTCAAATGACACTTTTAAAAATGATGAAATGCTCAATTTGGCTGTAGCTTGAGGCAAACAAAGAATGAAAGCATAGGATAAGATTCAAAATGGGTTTGAATCCAGGTTTGAGTACACATCACCTTCTGATTGGTTATTTATTCCTTGTGTGCCTGTTTGCCTTCTCTGTAAAATAGGCACAGTCATTCACACATTGCAGGTTGGTCATGACAATCAGAGATCACACAATTGTTGTTCATGTCTTGTTTGTGTTCCCAGGGGCACAAGTGCAGAGTTTCTGAGCATGGAGTCTACTACCCCAGCCTGGAGCACCGAATTCTCAACAAAGAATGGAAGTACCAACACCTATTCTCGACCTTGTGAATTGGAAACTCTGCTCTTTCCCTACCTGGCCGGCATCATTGCCCTGGTTGGGCTGGTGGGAAACGGCGTTGTGCTCTGGCCGCTGGGCTTCCGCACGCGCAGGAACGCCTTCTCCATCTACATCCTCAACCTGACCGGGGCCGACTTCCTCCTCCTCTGCTTCCTGATGATAGAATCCCTGAATAAAATCACTGAGGCCTTGCATTATTCCTTCTCCATCCCAAACGTCTTCATCCATGTGTTGGATTTTTCCTACCTTGCAGGGCTGAGCTTGCTGAGCGCCATCAGCACCGAGCGCTGCCTGTCCGTCCTGTGGCCCGTCTGGTACCGCTGCCACCGCCCGAGACACACGTCAGCTGTTGTGTGTGCCCTGCTCTGGGTCCTGGCCCTGCTGCTGAGCATCCTGGATCTCTTCTGTGGATTTCTGTACACTGGTGACCATGATGCGGGTCAGACATCTAAAATCATCGTAGGTGCGTGGCTGTTTTACTTGTGGTTCTCTGTGACTCTAGCCTGGCCCTGCTCCTCAGATTCCTATGTGGTTCCCAGAGGATGCAGATGACCAGGCTGTATGTGACCATCCTGCTCACAGTGCTGGTCTTCCTCGTCTGTGGCCTGCCCTGGGGCATTGACTGGTTATCATATGCATGGATGCGGCATTATGTTGAAGTCCGTTGCTATTCATTTCTAGTTTCCATGTTCCTGACGTCTATCAACAACAGTGCCAACCCTGTCATTTACTTCTTTGCGGGCTCCTTTAGGCAGCGGCGGCAGGAAGGGCAGCGGACCCTTCGGCAGGTTCTCCAGCAGGCTCTGCAGGACACTCCTGAGGTGGATGGACGTGGGGGCAGCCTTCCTCAGGGATCCCTGGAGCTGTCAGAAAGCAGACAGGCAGTGTGGAACAGCCTCTGCCCTGGTCAGTCAGATGTGACTCTGATGGTCAACACAGACAATTAACGGCCAATTTATAATTGCCAATTAACAGAACTTTGAAATTATCGTATGCACTTGCAGTTCTCAATATATCATTAAGTGAGCTTTTCATAGCAAGCTCACTCACTTAATCTTCAGTTTATTTTATAAATACTTACTGAGCATCTCCGTGTTCCAGCCCACATGCCAGACCTTGGGGAGTCAAGGACAACACTCCCACCTTCACAGAGCTCACGTCTGTAAAATGGAGCCTAGTGCAAGAAGGACTGCCATGCGATGTGGAACATGCCATCATACAGTTGGGTTTGTGACTTCAGGGTACCCTGAGCAGGGAGCACCTAAAAGGTCTTGCTTCCATCCTGAAGAGAAATGTCATACCCAAGCACCCAGGTGATGCAGGATGCTATGGTTCCAAGAAATGAGAGAATTTCATCAGCTGGCTCCTCCTGGTAGACAACAACCTCAACAAAGGTATTGTAATTGACAAAACCACAAGACTATTAAGCTGAATCATATAGCAGCCCTCAGTCTAGAGTCTGACATCACTCTGATGCACAATTCCTGAAAACATTCTTCAAGTAGAGTTTCATGCTGCTGCTTAGGCCACAGGAATTGTGCCACTACCTACTCCCACTATGCTGTGTTGCAGCGGAGGAAGCCCTTGTCTCCAGCCAAGCCCTACTCAGCATCAAGAAATCCTGGGATATGTAGGCATGCAGAACCTATGAGTACTACACTGGGAAGAACAATGGACCTGGGCCCAGAAACCTGGGTTCTAAGCTGACTGCATGACTATCATGGCTCTTATGCCCGTTCCAGACAACCCACGCAGATAGTGAGGTTATGGGATGCCATTTGTGCTCAAGTATCTGTTTCCAGAGTACAGTGTAAGTTTGGACTTTACCATAGATGTGGACTAAAGATAACTCTAGTTGTGATTCAAACAACCTGAGAAGTTTATGTCTCTACACAGTCACTATAACCACAATATGCACATACTCCTCTCACCTATGTGGCGGCTAACGGGGTTTTGAATATGTTGCTGTGATGTTCGTCTAAATATTGGTGTGGTATGTATTGGGTGCCAACATTGTCAACACACCAATGGTGGCTCTAAATACAGATGGGATTTGGTTGCTGTTCTCTAAGAGGTACAGTAGAGTGTGGAGGATTAGGTCTCTTTACACATGCCTGTCATATGAGTCCAATTATTCTGAATCCTTCCAGGATGCAAAGGCAGAGATGGGAAGCCGACAGGGATAAAATCTCATTAGTAAGCATTTATGTGGCTGTGACTAGATGAGGGGATGCTTCTTGAAATATTTGGAATTTGGACTAAGGACTCGCAAATTTGCTAAGCATGTACCCTCTGTCACTTTTGCCATCATAAAAAATTTTTGAATTAGACAAGGAAACATAAATAGGATCTGGACAGATGGAAATGTTAGAAGAAGTCATTTATAGTGGCATTGTTAGTAGGAGCATAGTGTTGTTTAGGGAATAGTGATCAACATGTAAGTGAGTTTCATTCCTTATGCTACATAAAGTACCGGTCATGGTTGTGATATCCCTCTTAACAAGGACTGTAAAACTGGATTTTCTCTTTTGCTACAACAAGGAGTCCAATCATCATCTGTGGCAAATTTATCTTGTTCTTGCTCTATAGTCCTATCTCGCTCCCCCTCAATAAATTTCACCTCGTGCTTGCCTTACAAAATAAAAACTGGTGTTCTCTGAACAATGAGCAATGTCTGTTGTGGCCTTGAACTGATAAGGAGTCAGGCATAACTGACAGCGTTGGTACAAGTTTTGCAAAGTAATTTGGAGTCAATGCTATAAAACTGTCGAGTACAGAGGACCAATCAGATCAGCCCAGCAGGATACATTAAAAAGGCAATGTCTTACTCTCCTGATCCTCCGCCCACAGATATGTCCCATGCTCCAGGGTCAGAATACACAGGTAAAAACAACAGGGAGGTAGAACAAAAAGAAATGGGAGGGGCAGAGTAGAGGAGAAGAGAGAAGCAGTGGAACGCACCCATTCCTCTGGTTCAACATTTTTGCCTATAAAAGGCCCAAATTAGCAGCAGGAGAAATGGTTCATCTTTAAATTACATTTAACATTTTGGGCCTCAGCAAAAATTCAACTCTAAACCTTTTTATAGCCTTGGTATGAATGATAACTTGTGACTTGGTAACCAGGGATCACAAACCTACTTTAGTTCTGCATGTCATCTTCCACCTCTTTTGAAATGTGGTTATCTATAGCACCTTGATATTTAGATGAATACACCAGTTTTTATATCCTATTACACATATGAGAAAACAATGCATATTAGGTTCAGAAGTGCAGTGAGAGGAGAGGTTCAGGATTAAACTTTTAATTATACCTGTACAATTTTATTTATTCCTTTTTAAAGAGCGATTTGAAGCAAAAATGATGAGATTATAATATATGCCTCATTTCAGTGGTGGGGATATGAATCCTCATTACATTATACTGTAACCTGTGTTTCTGGTTTACAAACTTCTCTCCAGCATACACCACGTCCTCATGCTTGGTGTCTTCAACATCCAGGTAGGTAGGCAATCCCATAAACTGATCTTTCAGTTCTTTTTTAACTTTTCTTCTGGAAGTAATTGCAAACTAACAAGAGGTTACAAATATAGTACATACGACACACCCTCCAAGCCACAGGACACACAAACATACTGCGGAAAGGTGGTGTGAGCACACAAATGAAGGTGGTTTTTTACAAGTCAGGAAGAGAGGCCTCAGGAGAAGTCGAATCATCTGGCACCTTCATCAGGGAGTTTGAGGCTCCAGAACTGTGAGAAAATACATTTCTGTTGTTTAAGCCTCTCAGCCTCTGGTCTTTTGTTACGGCAGCTCAAGAAGACTAACAGGAACATGGCAGGGAGGTAGGAACATGGACTGTTTTATTAGGACTTTCCTGTTACTTAAACAAGTTTTTGCTCTTACTTCACATTTAAGAGAGAATCCTTGAAAATACTGGTTAATCATCATTAAAAAATACTTGCTCAGAGAGGGCAAGATGGCTGACTAGAGGCAGCTATCAGACGCCTCTTCCTTGGAGAAGAAGCAAGATGGCCATTAGATACCCGTACTTCAAATAGATGATTGGGAAAAAAACGCTTGAATACACTAATAACAGAGAGGCAAGGACAGACACTGAGGGTGAAGGAAGGGGAAGGGAGGCTGCCTAATCACGGTTGCTGAGAGCCTTGAGCAGCACCTACATCATCCAGGAAGTGGGTAAGTGAGAGATCCTTGGGGCTTCAGGCTCCCACCTCAAACCTTTACAATTTTAGCTCCAGAAGAGCTCCGCCCCCCCACAGGCCTCCAGATTGGCATAGGGCGCTGCCTGCAGATCAGGCAGAGGCACCGCTCCAACTCACATGGACTTCCACAGGCTTCCAAACTCCATGCACCTGCAGCACAGCACAGAGCCATCTTGGGAGCCCATCCCCCAAAGCCCTGAAAGCTGCCACTGCAGGATGCGGGGCCAAGGAGGTAGACTGGATCTCAGGCGCTCTTATGCGCCCCAAACACGAGTTCCTGTGCTGCAGCCTTGGACTGATACAGGACACAGGGTGTTCGGACCACATGCTCCACACCTGCCAGCCTTTGCCACAGCTTCCTGACTGGCTGCTCCCACGGAGAAAGGCATACCTCTCCCAGTGGCCAGCCCACTGACAACTGCAGCTCACCTGCCTGAGAGTTCGGCAGGCAGCCTGGGACCAGACCACCCCCTCCCTACTACACCCAGTGTTTGAACTGAGGTCACCAAAGGAGAGGTCCGCTGCCGTGGTCTCATCACCCAGGACTAAATCACCATGCTCAGAGACATTTGGAGGACACTTGCGAACTGATCCCAAGTGGAGAAGGAACCCCCAGGGGCAGAACTGAGGAGTGTGAGGTGTGGGTTGATGCTGCACCCCTAAGTGGGGCACCGCTCCCTCCATAGGAACAGCCAAGGAAGGATGTGGCTGGAGGACCAGGGTTTCCGTCTTGGGCTGGGAGGTTCGCAGCCTCAGGCGGGTTCTGGACCTGAATGTAGACTGGTTTGGCCAGCTGCTGGCAGCCAGACATCAGAGGGAGATCCATTGGGTCAGCGATGTGAGGCAGTCCCCTACCCCTCACTGAGCTGTGGATTCTAGACATCCCCTCATCACACCACAGCATCTTTGGTGTGATGAAGGTGCCTTGGCCCCTGCCTGGAAACTTGCCCCCCGCAGCCTGGGAACAGCTCCCTGACGTCCTTAGGGTTCAGTGCTAGTGACAGCCTTTGGGAGCCTGGTCACAGCCCTGCCCACCTATGCCCCTCCTATCTACCTCAGTGGTGGTCAAACACAAGGTGGAGATCTCCAGGAGTTCCAAGGCCCCGACCATTGGCTGGGACATCTGAGTACTGCTCCTGATGAACTGAGGCCAAGCACGTATACCACAAACACCAGCATAGCTCGCTCTGTCCTGCAAATGCGACCTGATGGCTGGAAGGTCAAGTTATACACCCCATTACATTTGCTAATGCAATTATACATTATCTACAAGCACCGTCTGCTTGCCTGGAGGGTGAACTGAATGTCCCAATGTCATTTATGCTGACAGAAGCTTACCCACACTGGGGAACAAAATACTTTCCAGAGACCTCAATCTCCCATTCATGGCTGGAGTCAGGGAACCTGCTCCCATGCCTAGCACACTACCACTACAACCTACAAATAACCAGCATTGGAGAAAACCACCACACGAAGGCTATCTATAACCAAAGGATTCATATAGAGCCTTGGTTCCCTGAAAGCACCCATAAGCAAAGCCAAAGGCTCCTACCCAACATACCCTACAGTCACATCCTTAAGAAGTAAAAAAGTCCCTTCCAAACAAAAGTAAATTCAAAAATAAAAAGTCACAGCTTCTCCTGTTGAGAAGGAGTCAGCATAAGAACACTGGCAGCAGGAAAAAACAGTGTAATGACCCCTCCCCAAAGGATCACACCAAC